GTGAAGCCCAATATTGGATGTCAGTAAATATAGGCTGCATTGTTTTTTGCAATTTCTTTAATTGAGGATAATGAAGTCCAGATTGAAGCGTCTTCGGCGAATTGAGCTGTGGATGTGTTTTGTGGAATTTTTGGGAAAATATCATCAATGAATGCAATTTAGAATTCTTCCATCTATGGCTTTATCCTGATTTTTTTTTAATAAGGCCGTTATGCCAAATCATATCAAACCCTTAACTGATCAGTAAAAATTGCCAGTGTGTATTGTTTTTGTGCTTGTGCTGTCTTAATGTCATGTTCTAAATTTAAAATGTGGTCTTAAGTTTGGCGATTTGGGGTAGGTCGCTCTGGTCCTCCCTGAGTAGAAATTTAGAATTTTAGCCGGTTGTTTGTTAGTTTTATCTTTGTTTGTGTATATTATATTCGGGGAGGGGTTTGATTTAGAATTGCATTTAATGGTCATATATTTATCCTAAGAATTTTCGAATTTTGTTTACCTATTTTCAAAGTACTGGTAAAAGTTTCCCAGTGCTTCTATTTGGATACTCCTATAGGTAATTTGGTTGAATTTCTGATTTTTGTTTGCCACGGGGAGTTTAGTAATGTCTTGTTTAGCTTTATTGAACACCTTTTTTGTTAATTTTCTCGAATTGATAATGAATGTGCTCCAACAGGATACAGGTTTATGTGTGATTGGTTTATGTTTTTTTTGGAGATGCATTGAGATGCTATGTCGTGTAATCACATGTGTCGACAGTTGCAACTGAACTTAGATGACAGAGATATGAGTTGTTCAACGTACAACTCTGGATAAAATGTTTGATCATTGTGGTTGTATTCTGTATGTGCTACATGGCCACCATGTACTGTTTCTAACACGTGGAACTAGTAGGATCAGATAAACCTCGTAAGGAAAATACTGTCAACTATGTCAGATGTGTTGAATGTGACAAGGGCTTTGATAATGTTACTTTGTTACTAATGTTACTCTTTTTATTTCTATCTTGTTGCATATCTCATTGCGGTATTGTATTTGACGGCCATTTCAAACTTTGTAGATTCACCAATTTCTGATCAGACAACTAATTAAAGTGCCGACTCTGCTTATGTCTGAGATTTGTTATGAATATGGAAAGGGTTTTATCGCTTATATTTATACGATCTATGAAATACCATTTTGTGCACCCTTTGTGCATCTATATGTTGTGGAGAAGTTTTAATCCATGTCGGACATATTTGATTCGGCGGTCATCTTTAAAGACCTTCTTTTACCAAATATTCATAAATGTATAAAATCTAAACAACTAAAGACCTAAAGAAATTCAGGCGTTTGCTGTGGGCGTGTCAGAGAATCATGTAGTCAGCTTGAAGTCCTGCTATTAACTTTTTCATGGAACTTCAGATCAAACACGAACCAAGCCAAAGAAAACACGGGACATAACTGGTGGGATTCGGAAGGTCACCAAGCGCGTCATGCCAGACAAAAACTTCGTGCGTTTCATGACACTAACAATACCTCTGATCGCCTTGCAAACACTAAAGCATGGAAGCACTATAAACAACTGTGTTATCAGAAATATACATGCATCGAGAGCGAGAAAGGTCATTGTGACACGTGCCAAGTGGGGCCGGGCGTTGTCCCGCTGGAAAATCTCACGTTGGACGGCAATGGCTGGCAGGAGGTGTGGTAGCAGGATGGTGTCTCTGTAGCGTATAGCCGTCAGGTTTCCCTGGACGTGGACAAGATCGGTATGATCAGTGTAGGATATTGCCGCCCATATCATCACACTCCCTCCACCAAATCTGTCCACTTGACGCATGCAGTTAGAGTCATAACGTTCATGAACATGTCTGTAGACCCGGTTCCTACCTTCACGTCTCTGCAACAGGAATTTGGACTCATCGCTAAACCAAATGCGTCGCCAGTTGCGAAGGTTCCAGGCAGTCACATGTTACACCAACGGAGACAATGAGCACGATGATGACGACGTAGCACGTTCCCGACGTAGGGTCTTCTGGCTCTCAGTCCATGTTCTCTCAGCCTGTTCCGTACAGTCTGGCTTGATATCCTCTTAAGTCCTGGCACCCTGGCTGCAGTGCTCTCACCCGTAGCAGTACAGTCACGCAAATGGAGTACCCGGATGTAGCGCTCCCGGGCTGTTGTGGTGACTATAGGTTTTCCTGTACGGGGACGGTCATTTGTTGTGCCTGTTTGGTTGTAGCGAGCTGCAAGCCGTGATATTGTGCTTTGGCGAACATTCAGACGTTGGCAACAGAAGATTGGGACTCTCCAGCCTGCAGTCTTCCAATGGTGATGTTCCTTGTGGCAGCATCAAGACGTGTACCTTCATATTCAGCACCCTTCAACTAGAATAAATGAAACGTCTTCTTTATATGTTTAACTTTAGTTAAACTCAGTAGAGTACTTGCCAAGATTCTTAGAGATTAAAACATTGAAACACCCCACAAGACCCTGATTAAATTTAACCTTTTTGCAATTACTAAGGGCATCTATGGAAAAGTGAGTGACGTTAAAACTATCAAAAGATTGAGAACAGGATCATTACCTATTGAATGTGCAAAATGGCAACAAGTAACAAACCAGATGTCAATCGATGCACTCGTTTGAGTTACAGTAAATGTATCTCCAAACAGAACCCACAGGCAGAGGCTTCATCAGAGATCGCGATCGATTCTTTGAAGATATGACAGAACTGGATTTAGCATCTGAAATGAAAATGCAAGGGGTTGCATTTGTGGAAAGATTTACCAGGTGTCACGGTACCGAAACAATCCAAACAAATACATACCTATTTTCCTTTTCTTCACCAGCAGCACAAAAACAGTAAAAGCAGACTACTGTAAAATTGATGTACAGTTGTTCATCCCAAACCCATTGAGATGTTTGAAATTTAAGCAATTTGACCATGGGATATATTGCTGCACATACAAATCACATGTGCACATTGTAGTGAAACTTCTCATGTCACTGGGGACTGGAACAGTGATTTCAAAAAGTTTAAAAACTCATCTGCAGCTCATCCTTTATACAGTAAGAAATGGACAGTTTGAAAAAAAAATGAAATCAGCACAATAAAATGTACCACAAACATCACATACACAGCAAAAAAAACCCGTTCCAAATACTGACAAGCATGAAGCCTATGCGTCACTTACTAAAACACCCACAGTTATAAAATAAAAAATTCATCGATTTGACATGGGTCAGTTCTATCAGTCCCGAGATCCTCTTACCTTCTGAATCTTCTACAAAGACTGTTGATCCCATAACAGCTGTACAGACTTCTGAACCTTTACCTCCTTCTGTGACACCATCTAAATCAAATCATATCATATTAAATATCTGAAAGCAATTGAAGTCTAGGTTTTTCGCAGGTTGAGATGTGAATCTCTCATCTCACTGGGCTTCATTTTAATTCTTAATGGAGTTATTTGTGTCTATCAAAAGTATATATATTATCAGACCCAGCGTTAATCTATAGACACCGATAGTACCCTTACAGCTCAAATAAGAACACCGAATAGTCAATTGTCTGATGTCCTTACAACGATAATGACCCCGACAGCATGTACACGTGGGCTTCACTTGTATTTAGAGCGGTAGAGGTGAACTGGTCAAGCATTTTGCTGGGTCCCACGTGGGACACAACATATATTACCCATAATGTATTAAGTAAGAATATCGTAGATATTGTCTATGCCCAGCTACACTATCGCCTACACATTATTAATTAAACTGACAAGAATAAACGTTAGTCCAATGAACATGTACTTGGTCACGCACTATCAAGCACTATTAGCCTGTTGTGTGATGAATGTAACTGAGCTGACTTAGGTTATCACAGAATAAGTTCAGTTTGGCCATTCGGAGCTGCCTACCGTTTCAGCAGCTTGCTTTTGGCTACATCATCTTACATGGCCAATGGATGTCTTAAGTAGAAACAGTGTGATCCTTTATTCTGCTTCTTTATCCCTCTTCCTTGAAAATAATATATGCCACCTCACAGCTATATATATATATATATATCAAAACAGAGTCAGTGAGTTGGTGTCAATGACATGCGTGTGGTCCAAAATTGTGGTCCAAATGTCTACTGCAATCCAGGTTGGAAGCAGTGTTTGTGTTGTTTCACTTGGTACTCAACAATATTCCAGGTACATAGTGGAGGGAAATGTGTCTTCTTGCTGGGTGTCTGAATTCCACTAACACGTACCACATCTTAAAACCGATTTATAAGCAAATCACTCTGCACTACGTGGGACAGATCTTAGAGCAAGGTATGCCACACCAGCCAGAAACACAAAACCTGAAGGAAGCCTTGGGCATTTTGTCTTTCAGAAACCAGAGCGATGCGATTTGCCATGATCATTTGTACATTGTATATCCGTCAAAAAAATCGACGCTTTTTCGGAAGCTCACCAATTAATCAATTTTAATGAATTTTCCGTCGTTTTCCCGTTCTATGCCAATATACGGAAACAAGCTCAAATGATTTCTCTAATGGAAGTTGACGTAGCCATAAACAGACCCAAGTCACACAAAAGGATAATGTCCCAAAATGTGCCGTTGGTCAGAAGCCTGCCTTGTCTGATTAATGTTTTTTACCCATTATTTTAGTCTACTTATAATCAGTTGAGAAGATTGTGTCATATTTCTTTTAAAATGCACAGGCAGTGACCATGACAAAACCTTTGACACACTGTTTTTCTCTGGGTATTAATTCTGTTTGGCCAAATACTTGATTTTTATGATCAACCTATTTCCAACATGAACATACTTGTCAGACCTGTTGTCACACATGGATACAGAGTGGCCTCAAACCAAATTCACTCACTCCAATTCATTCGTGGATATTCCCTTCCATTTGATGACAGTATTCGTGAATAAGTAGTCGAAAGGTTTCAACACTAACATCTTATCACATGAAAAAAATGCTGCTTTCCCTGAATTAAATTGATTTATCCACATTATATTGAAAGGCAAAGACAACTCTATGAAATGTACACAGCGACGAGCACAGACGATGCCACTCAGATGCAAGTCTTCAGAGCAGATAACAACTCATCAAACTGGAAGAGAGTGAGTTCGGTTTTACGCTGCTTTTAGCAATATTTCAGCAATTTACAATGGCGGGGAACACTAGAAATGGGCTTCACACATAAACTGGAAAAGAAAGGTAATCAAATTATGTTAAAACGCACTGTCAACTGTTTTTCTAAATATGTTGTATTACATTGAGCAGATGAAAATTCGTTGTTATGGTGGAGTTGGCGATACATTTGCTGTGCTTATTCTACACCAAAATGTTGATAATATTTTGTGAAATAACTAACATCTCAAAATAGAACTCTGAAACCACACAAGATGATGACCACAACATTCATGGATAGAATGGAGCAACATCACTTCTACCATGTGTCGGTATTTTCAGCTCCGATGTTGTCTGAAAACCAACTTGCTCCTGATAAGAACCATCATATCAGTGGTCCTTGGAGTGATTCTCGGAATGCTGACTCGTCGGCTAGAACCCACCCAAGACACTGTCAGCCTTATCGGTGTCCCAGGGGACCTGCTGATGCGCATGTTCAAGATGTTATTGCTGCCTCTCGTCACCTCCAGTATGGTCACAGGTCAGTGAAGCCAAAACAGAATTCATCTAATATAAAAATATAGTCAAATTAAAAACTTCACATTTTTAAAAGTAATCCCATATATGGTATACAGCGGACAAATGAATAGCGTGTATGGCCACCATGTGTGTTGACAACTGCCAGACAACGCCTCATGGATCTTGTGATGCTTGTGAACACATGACTGGGAAGCCGACAAAATGGTGCCAGGATCTTGCAAATTCTGTGGTTGGTTCTGGAGAGTGCGCAGACTTCTGCCAAGAGCATCCCAGATGTGTTCGATGGGATTGAGGTCGGGAGACCTTGACGGCCAGTCCATGACGTTGACTCCCGCATTCTGAAGGAAATTCCTTGTCAAAATTGCTGTGTGGGGTCTGGCATTATCGTGTTGGAAGATCAAACCGGGTACTTGTGCTGCCATAAAAGGCAGAAGTTCTGGTGCCAGTACCTGGTCGCGCAGCAGCGTTGAGGTTGCCACTGATGACAAGAAGCCTGGAATGTGCATTGCCACAGAAAGCACCCCACACCATGACACTTCCGCTTCGAAATCTGTCAACTTCCTGTACACAACACTGGGCTTAACGTTCATGACGGCGTCCCTACACCCTCGCCCTAACATCAGCAAATCGAAGATTAAATCGGGATTCAAGACGATTGAAGACGACCCACAGTGTGGCCGTCGTGCTTGAAGGTGAGCAGTTCTCAGATGGTTTCGAACAGTTTGCGCACTCAGTCTACCCCTAAACAGTTCATTTCTGGTTGATGTAGCGGTCAAAAATCGGTTACAGAGGTGACGTAAGACAATCTGACTATCCTCTGCCTGTGACGGCACACGAGGTCGACCTGGCCGAGGGCGATCAGCGGTGGTACCTGTTTGGTGTAGACGCGTCTGTAAATCACAGTCAGTCGACTAAAACCCATCCTTGCGACTTCAGCTACGGACGTTCCCGTCTGCAAGATGCCGATGGCACATTCACGTTGCCCATTTGAAAGCCGTGGCATTACAAATGTCCGTAAAGACTTTTGTTGTCTTGTGTTTTTCTCTTATTTTAAATGACTGCTAACAAGTATGGCTGAAAACACTTACGGTATTATAGCCACGTGACCAGTTGCACGTGAAAAAACACTTTTGCCACTATAGTGCTTTGCACATGATTTTAATCGATTCACCTGCACAAAAACGGGTATCTAAAGACAATACGTGGCCATTACTGTTTAAATACACAGTAAGGGCCCACACTGATAACTGGTCAAAATGTTAAATTTAAGGATTGTGAAGTTTTCAATTTGGTTCAGTATATGCAATGGAAATAACAAAAAGTACATGTTTACTTTACGGTGAAATACCGAATTTAATGGATACAAATTTAATGGATATCAAATACGAATGTCTCAGTGACAACATGGGTTTCAGATGAGGATCTTAAAGATCAGTCTTGTCTTGTCAAATAGCATATTTAAACCATCTAAGTTGACGTTTTCAGTTTACTGCTGTGGTCACTGGTGTCACAGTGGCGCCTCAATTTGCTGTGGAGACCTGCATCACTTGGACATGTTTAGTATGATCACCCAAAACCAATATCATTGGTTAGAATCCTGGTTCGACCTTAAAATATTTTTATGTTTGTCACTTCTATACCCATTTCTGTGGATATCACGAAAGTGGCAATGTACGAGGCAGGCATTCTGGTCAAACAGAGATGCAGCTATATGCCTACAAGCTCCCATCCGATCTGAAATTATGTCAACATGTATATATCTAAATGTTTGCAAACATAGCTTCATTGTATGCAATTGTTTTTGTTCTGAAGCAGTGATATATTTCAATACTTTCTAACATTATTTATGTATGGCAAAGGCAAAGTAAAACTCACGTGGATAGTATTCACTCTCAGTTATAAGCCTTAGAGGACAGGGGGATTTAAATGGTATGTGTTGGCCAGGGGGACCAATATAATGTTAAATATCGACCTTCAACTTAAATCAAAGGCCTTTGTGCAAGATCACTATTCGACTTTTTAGACAGGTGTTTACAAACTCAATGAGTTTAGAAATACCTTGAAAACTCCAATGGTATTAGAGGCATAAATACAATTCACGTGGTTGATATGCATCTCAGGAAACAAAAGACGGTTTTGAAACCAAGAAGCCTTCTTCTGTCATAATGTGGCTTCTGTTAAATATATGCCGATTTAAGTGTGCGGAAAGGGAAATCGTTCATATGCCATAGTGTTAGGGACGCGCAAAGGTGAAACGCTATGACGTGACCAATTCAGAATGAATGAATCGTGTAAAAATTAAACCACGATTCTGTAAATACATCTTCTACTGCGGTACAGTCATGGAGGGATCATGGCTGATATGTCCTTGACACCAAATTCGTAAATAGGAAATACCCCCTGTTGGCAAAGGATCTCATGGATCTCAAAGGACAACTTTCTATTTACATATTGTCAGGCTAGCTGCCACCTGTCATAGTGGGTAGGAAACTCTAAAGGGCAACGATGAACATGGATTATTAAAAAGAATGGTATCCATACATTAGAATTTGAAAATAAATAAATGCAAATTGCCAAACGTACTGTAGCAAAGTATGAGTATTTGTAAATGTAACACCTGTTACCTGTCCTCTGAACATTTATATCTAACCAATGTTTAACAGGTGTGGCAAATCTAAACAAGTCAGGTGGAAAGTTAGGAATCATCGCGTTGGGGTATTACATCTGCACCACTATTACAGCCACTTTCCTCGGAATCGGACTGGCTGTCAGTATACGACCTGGGGAGGTTACCAAAGCTGACCCAAGTCCCGACAGTGTCTTTGACTAGCCATTACCAGTAACCACGGATGCCATATTAGACCTATTGCGGTGAGCCTTCTTTTGATGTTTATTATAATGTCTCTTTTATAAAAAAAATCCCAAGCGATTCACACATTCACTCTTTGGCTCCAATATTTTGTAAAGTTTCCCTATCGCTCTTGCATAAGTTGGACTATGCAAGTATGATGTAATAAATGAATGTTCCTTTATCAGAAATATCGTCCCCGAAAACATCATGCAAGCTTCATTCCAACTTTCCAAAACAACATTTACCAAAAACATGGTTGAGCCTGTGAACACTAGTGAAACATCGGTATCACAGACTAATCACAGTTCAAACAACTTCAAATATGGTGGGTATATCTGGCAGAAATCCGTGAACTACCAAGACGGCATGAATGTCTTAGGTAAGTGAGGGACCGAAGGTAAGATACATACACACGAGGTTGCATCATACATGTAATAAAGTAGGTCTATAGTTTAACGATTGTATAGATTGTTTGAATTATAAAGACAGTCTTATGAATGACTGGTCGTTCTATGGTTGAAATATTGTCGACGTAACGTTAATTTGTTACTTACTCACGCTTACCATATTCAACTATTTCTTAAAACTTGCAAACAAATTCAGAAATATGTACAATAATTTAAACAACATGTATACAATATACATCAAGTTTACGGATAGGTCATAATGCCCTTGCTGGATGCCTTTCAGAACCTGCTTACTTTAGTAATTATGTCATCAACATATTAAGGTATAAATTATATAGTGCATTCTGATGCTGTGACATATATGTTGATAGTGTATGCTACTGATCAATGACTGTGCTGCAGAAAGTCTGGTTTATACATTTGTATAGGGATCCTGATGTTTTTTGCGGTGTTTGGTGTGATGCTAAATAGGATGGGCGAGTCTGGACGTGCTATGCTGGACTTCTTCAACATTCTGAATGAAATAACCATGAATATGACAAAGCTGGTTATGTGGTAATTATAACAGTTGACCAGCATTTAACAAAATATAACTATAATCACTCTGAATGTATCAAAAGCTGGTGTTCACATTGATTTTGCGTTAAATCCAAATATAAAGTCAGATATTCAAGATTAAAGGTGACAGTTAAAGAACTCAAAAGCCATCATTGGATTTTGTAAGCATGGTAAAAGTGTGAAACGAAGAGATCAGACAAGAGGATAGTTTGATATTGCCAATGATGTGTGCGTAATGTGTGCATTTGGATGAATAATGAACGTAGCCTCATCCACGTGGCACAAAGACGTTGTCTCACTCGGCTTACAAACTGTATGTTGTTATGTCTTTCAGGTACAATCCTATTGGTATATTTTTCATCATTATGAACAAAATTCTTGAAGTACCGGACTTAGAAGCAGCAGCTAAGTCACTGACGATGTACATGGTCACTGGTCTCCTTGGTTTAGCCATCCATGCACTGATCGTGCTGCCAACGATCTACTTCACACTGACCAGGAGAAATCCTTTCCGTGTGTCCCTGGGCATGATGGAGTCTCTTCTGACTGGACTGGGTACAAGTTCCAGGTTCGTTTGCTGTAGGGTAGTGGGAATTCTTGTCATCATTAACATTATGCCTCGCCCACTTTGATTAGGATTGGATTTAAACTTTTGTCGCTGATATTGAAACTGTGGTGTATTGATAACGTATCCATCCTATCATTGTGGTGCCCAGTCATGGCTTCCAAAAAACTGTTCACTTTATTATCTTGAAATTTGATGTTATATGGTTTGTGCCAAGAGCATGATTGCATGTCTAGGACTTGGACGGGGTTAACTGAATGTCCTCAGCTTTCATTCCTCTACACAGCCTAACTGTAGCCTGAGGGCGCCCTGTTTTGTCCACACGATCCATATCAATTTTAAATGCAAAGGAATTCTAGATTCTATAATGCCCACAGGCCAAATTAGCTGTGAAACTATATGTAAGGACCACTGGGAATCAGTGATGACACCAGGCGTTTGCCAAAAAGGTAAGTATGTCAGGTCCTACCGGAAGCACCCGCCAAACACACAATACCGAGACTCTCGGAGTGGTAAATGTATGAACTGCATCATTTGGGCTTACTACCCTCATGATGAGAATTAACATCTTCTTTTTTTCTTGTGACAACCATGAAATACTGAGGTCATAATCTGACATGCAATGAGATATAAGGCACAGACACATGATAGTGTCGTTAAGTGTGTTCATATTCTGTTTTAGCGCAGCGGCCCTGCCTGTTACTCTGCGCTGCTGTGAAGAGAAGCTGAAATTCAACAAGACCATCTGTCGGTTCGTGTTGCCTATAGGAGCAACAATTAATATGGATGGTTTGGCCATTATTCAGGCTGTCACACCTATCTTCCTGGCCCAGATGAACCAGAGGATGCTCGCATTTGCAGATTTAGTAGCAATCAGGTATAACAATGTGATGTTAACAACATTGGTTGGTTGGTTTGTTGTTTAACATCGCACTCAGCAATATTCCAGCTATATGACGGCGGTTTGTAAATAATCGAGTCTGGACCAGACAATCCAGTCATTAATATCATGAGCATCGATCGACATTATTGGGATCGATGACATGCAGCAACCAAGTCAGCGAGTCTGACCACCCGATCCCTTTAGTCACTTCTAACGACAAACATAGTCGCCTTTTACGGCAAGCATGGGTTGCTGAACATCTATTCTACCGTGGATCTTCACGGGTCTGTTAACAACAACGTGTATGTTTGATCACTTTGCTCGAGAGCTTTTGATCGATATTCAATATCAGGTTATAGTTAATATTACACTGCAAACGCAAAAACGTTTTTCCGTATATGGACGAATATACAACGTCTCCTGAACACATTCGTACTATCGGTCTTCTGTCCTAAGTACACCGTTATTTGACATCGGAATTTACTGCAAGAGAATGCCCCACCCTTTTCTTGAATGACCTTGCGTCTGCCAGTGTTTCTATTTCTCAGCTTTCATTGGACAGCTCTCGCCTTTATGATTACAGGCTGGGCTCCTAGCGGAAGTGCTTAATCCCACGCATCCGGATTGAAAAATTCCTTATTCAATTTTTTTTCATGCGTGCGCGGATTGTTTATAGCACGTTCTTGATCTTATATGTCGCACCTGATGGAAACTGTTGCCTGCCTTTCTCTTTACACAACGCAATGATAATGGTGATAACTCAAACTTGTTAGGAAAGGGCAAGGCTCAGGAACGGCTATCATATAGAAAATTCCACAGTGAAATATTACCAAGAGATACGCAAACTAACATCAAACTGCAACTATAAATTATTTGCCGACACTAACAACTTATTTTTTCAGAAGATGACCAATTTATATATATTGCCAGAAAAAAAGGATACAGTTTCTGATATGGGCAGTGGTGCAGCCTAGCGGTTAAAGCGTTCGCTCGTCACCCCAAAGGCCCATATTGATTCAACACACGGGTACATTATGTGAAGCCTATTGCTGGAGTCTCCCGCCGTGATATTTTTGCAATCGAAGTAAACTCACTCATTAGTTTCTGATGTTGCTTGCAACATTGACCCGGGGTTTCCCTTTCTCGTATCAACAGGACACTTACCTAAAACCGTATGCAGTGATCACAGTAATATCATAATGTAGTCGACCATGCATAGTCCAATAAAAATCGCGTAGAAAAATCAACATCCTTTTCGTAAACTGCCGTGCATATTTCGGCCGATTGCAAACTTTTCAAAGCATGTGAGCCGACAACTTAGCGACCAGAGATATTTTCCAAATCTTTTCATGTTTTTAATGAAGGTTCTCACGTGATTTGATGCACTTCGCGAAGTAATACCCGTTTCGTTACACAATAGATCTCGACTACTGATCAGATCATCTACACTGGGCGACACAATTTTATTTGAAGCAGTAGTATACATGATGGCGATCCTGGCTCACCACCACCTGAACCATTCCCGGACCCTATCAATGCTTCTATGGGGGTCTTAAGTTTATGTGAATTATATGATGACTATCCATATGTATCGAGGAAACCTGAAGCTAAATTGTAATGAAAATATTCTCTATTATTATTTTTACTCATAAGCATACCATTATTTTGGACATAGTTTTATTCAACATTTTTATTTAGTTCTTTGTTCATTTTACTACGGGACCTTTCTCGTCTTCACAATTGGAAAGAAACAACTGATAAGCATATTTGGATGGCTTGTTATCCATGATAAAATATACACCTTGTGGTAATTCTCGCCATTTGATAATTTTATCCCGGAGCATAAATGCTTTGAGAGCTTTTTCAAGTTCTTTTTTGTTTGCTTGTAATTGTCCATTGATACACACTTATATAAATATTTATCTAAATGGAACTATTAAAGAAACATCAATATTAATTAATAATGGATAAAATTTTCATATAGCTAGCGAGGATATTGAAAAGGTATGGCAGCAATACAAAAACTAGCCGCAGCAGCTAAAGTATCTAAAGATGTTGCCAAGGATTGGTTAAAGAAACAAGCAATATGCGTTATATACCAAGGAAAAGGTTAGATATTTTTATAACGAATGAAGTTCATCAGGCTGGCCTCTTATTGTTTTCATGATAAGGTAAGACGAAAAACATATAAATATACTTTAACCGTAGTAGATGTAGCTAGTCGGTACAATGAGGCTGAACCATTGGCATCATAAGATTCAACCGAAGTAGCATATGCACAGGGCCGCATTAATAAACATGGACCACTAAAATGGCCTGAGTTATTTCAAGTAGATCCTGGTCACGAGTTTATGGGATCAGTAACTAAACTATACTCTACAACAAAAGTTCCTGTGACACCAATATTTAAGTGTATTTTTCAAACAAGTATAGCTTGGTTTTCAATATTGTAGGACATGTAGGAATCAGAAAAGCATGCATTCCATGCAAAAGTTGACTTTTATGCAAGCCCCATGCATTTCACTACCCAAGAATGGGTATAAAAACATGTGCGTTAACGGGATTACATATTCATTGTTTAGCATCGTGCTGACAACAACCACTCAGAAAAACAATAAAATTACGCAATTATTCAACATTACGAAATGCCACGCCTGTCCGAAAATGAGCGTCTGCGAGCCATTGGTATGCTTGAAGCAGGATCGAGTCAACGTGATGTTGCAAGGCAATTTAACGTCCACAGAAACACCATTTGGTGTTTATGGCAACGCTGGCAACAGACGAATGCAGTCAGAGACCATCCTCGGAGTGGCAGGCCATGCGTAACCAATAATCGACAAGAAAACTGCATTCGACCAACACACCTACGAAATTGATTCCAGACAGCAACAGTAACTGCATAAAGCATCCCTGGCCTTCGACGAAAATCTTCACAAACCGAACGTCGCCACCTCAGATGTGCAGGGATTGTCGGCAGAAGACCCGCCAGACGTCCCATTTTGACAGGAAACCACCATCAAGCACGTCTACAGTGGTGCAGAAAGCATCTACACTGGACGGCCATGCAGTGGGGACAAGTTCTATTCACTGACGAGTCTCGTTTTCACCACAGCCACACCGATGGACGGATTCGAGTGTACTGACGTTGATGTGAACGTTACGTCAATCATTAAGTCATGGAAGAAGATGGGTGCGGGGGCGGCAGTGTTATGGTATGGGGTGGGATTACAGCAAGACAGAGGACCCGTTTGACAGTGGTAGAGGGGAATCTCAATGGACAGCGCTACCGTGACGAGATCATCGTCCCTGTTGTTCTACCGTTTTTGCATCATCATGGCCCAGGCATTACCTTTTAACATGACAACGCCCGGCCTCATATTGCTCTACTTGTTCAGGATTCTCTTCAACAAAACAACATGAATGTCATCCCCTGGCCGGCTCGCTACCCTGATCTCTCACCAATCGAGCACATGTGGGATAAGATGGAACGGTACCTTCGACGTCAACCACGTGTTCCACAGACACTCCAGGAACTTCGAAACATGCTCCAGCAGATATGGACAGGACTTTGTGCGACGCCTGGTCCATTTCATGAGACGAAGATGTGTTGCTTGCATTGCAACCAGAGGTGGACACACATGCTATTGATTTGTAAATTGACATTTTGGCATGTTCATGGTTTTTTTTATGAAATCACGCATTTGCTGAAGTCAGTATGGCAAATTAAACCATTTGAACACTTACAGGAGTCTTTTATCTGTTGCAAACCGAAATTGTTTCAGATTTGGTAAAAAACATAACTTTGCATTAAATCTTATTAAATGTCACAGGAACTTTTGTTGTTAAGTATATAAACAAAGCACGATGTTGCAATCGGGCGAAGTGAAAAAGTAGCCAAGCTATTGTTGAAAGATTTAACCGGACATTATCAGAACATTTGTTTGGATATCAGTATGGGAGTGAAATGAAGTCAGGTCGATTAAGATCAACTGAATGGGTAACACGATTATCAGCTGTTGTAACAAGGCTAAATAATGAAGTAACAGTATTAATTGGGAAAAAACATCCGATGCCATTAAAACGAATCATCAGCACTGCGGGGTAGCAAAGAACAAAAACTTCCCGATAGAGTAAGCCTAAGCTATTTATACCAGCCCGGTGAACTTGAAGGAGGCCAACGTTGTGCAACCGATCCGATTTGGTCTCTTAAGATATATAACATTAGTCGGTTGGTTATGAAAGAAGGCGAGCCTTTTCTATATTATGTTAAAGATGGGTCGGGCAGGGAATTTGTACGAGAAGAGTTGCTCATTGTTCCAAGCCATACAGTATTACCTCCCTAAGTGATACCTATAGTTACACCATCCTTATCAATCCATCTCATTGTATCTAAGGGGGATAATGATTATTCTTAACCCATATATCCTGTGCTTTTCGCTTCTTAAAGTATTCATCCTCTGTTCTAACGTCGAATAATGCCTCTTTATACTGTTCGTGTTTGATATGCTACTTTTACCACATACTTCTTAACTCCTTTAGCTTTTCTTATCTCCTCTTTATCAGACTTTTTTTTATAGAATACTTCTTAGATCTTAATCCAACATGCTCGGCAAAAGGAGTTCCAGCACATTCATCCTTCATATTACCGAAGACCTTTAAATTACTGTCCTTTGCAATGGATTATCTTTTGGGTAATCACTTGGATTGTATATATCTATTTTTTCTGCCATATCTTTATACTCATCCTCGCTTTGTTTATAAAACCTCGCATCTACCGCCGTATTGCTTCTTACGTTCATTGTAGTAAAAGTCATACATTAAGAGTTTGGATAAGTCATGAATACCCATACCAACGTATACTGGTGTGTTGAATTTGATATTACTCTTCCTCATATATAATGCCGCGAAGCCTTTGTCAAATATCTTACTGCTACTAAAAGCTGGCCTGGCTGTAAGTTTCCTAAGACTTTCTTCCTCATTAGATCTGACCAATTTAACATCAACATGCTACCTCAGATTCTCCATAGTGTTACCAAATACTGATCGCTGGTACCTATCTTTCTTAAATCTGTGTTCAGCCTTATATAGGGCTCTATTCAAGGACTTTGATCAAACTTAAGAACTCTGTGACTTCCGAATCTTCAGCACCGAGGAGAGGCAAAGAACAAAAGCTTCCGGATGGAGTAAGCGTAAGATATTTATACCAGCCCAGTGAACTCGAAGGAGGCCTACATCATGCAACTGATCTGATTTGGTCTCTTAAGAGATAGAACATTAGTTGATTGGTTATGAATGAAGGCGAGCCTTTTCTATATTATGTGTGTATTTTCTTTGGTTCATGCCTAATGACAGATATTACTTGATATTTCTATAGTGGGCCAATTGTTTTGTCTTATCCATCAAATTTGGTACGGGTTTTTGTACGTTAGCTAACTTAATATTGCCCATCAAGTTATGCTGATATTCGGACTTCCAATTTCTTTGACCATTAATCTTTCGGGAGCTAGCGGATAACTGTTATTGTGTTTTTGTAACTCTGTTGGATATTCTAAGTCAACTTCTAGTATGTACCCTTTATCAAAATCTTTGGGAATATTATTCACATTGATATTGTTTACGTATTCAAAGCCGCCCATGGGTAAAGGTTGACTCATAGCCCACCAGTACAAATTGTTGGCGTAGAGATGTAATATGTGTGTAGTAGGTTTACTCGAATCATATCCTTCCAGTCATTTATTATTGGCATTAGAATACCTTGTCGCTGCCAGTGATATACCACCTCTTAATTCTTTCTCTACAAACAAGTGCATATTATAATCAGTGAATAATTTTAGTTCCACATGGGACTGGAATAGTACCATGCCGGATCCAAGCCATATTGTTTTAAACGAGTTTTTTCTAAATATCTCAGATATATCTGTGAGTAACAGTACATCAGTTTTTAAGTAAAAATCATGATAATCGCCTAAATTCTTACAGCCTAATTTATCCGACATATTAAGAGAGTGTTTATAATCACCATCGGTTATATAAGATTCTGTTAAGTTACTATAGAATGATTAAACGGGTGGTAATTTAGTTTCTTCAAATTTAGACCACGAGTCAACCGATCAGTTTGACCGCCATCAGTCTTTGAGAGAGCTTGCATGATCAGATGAAAGTCATATCCTCTAAGATTATGAAACACAACGGGGATGAGGATTTATTTTACGCTTCAAGTTAGACTCGTTATGCGCGGCTCCTCTGTAATGACCTATGACGAGACAATGATCTCTTACAGAATCCCCATTCACGTGTTTAAAATGAGGCTTTTCCGGACACTTCATGGGCCCTCATCATTCAATCTCACTTCACTTTTCCGTCCACAGCCAAATCGACGTCTTTGTGTTTGCAGTGATGAAGGACATTTCAAGGAGTTTTTTAAGGAGTTTTGGAATAACGAAAGTGTTTCAAGAAAATCAATGATGATAATTACAATTGGAAATGACAGGACAGAACAAAAATACAAGTTTATATCTTAAAAATGTATGTCACATAACTCCCGAATATCTCTATGTCTATTTGGCGTTTACATTTCCATTCCAGCAACAATAAGACTAGGATTTGCTCAACATACATAGTAGCTATTTTAAAATCCAGATGAACAACACAATGGCAAATACAGCCACAATGTTTGTATCTTGAACTTATTGGTAGCGTGACTTAAGTCAAAGCAAACACTCCAACAAACCTACAACATTATATTACCTGAATACCATGTTTTCCCAGCCTGTCTGCAACTCTGGCAAGTATCGGTGCTGCTGGGGTCCCAGGAACTGGCTTCATCACCATGTTAGTGGTTGTGGCTGCTGTGGGTTTACCTGTAGAGGATGCCTACTTGGTGCTGACTGTGGATTGGTTCATGTAAGTATGTCCATGGTCACTCCTGTAAATATGATTTACAAAATGTACAGAGACAACATAAATATTAATTAGCATGAATTGTGATTGTTTTTATATCCAGAAACACTTTTTCAAGCGACTTACAGGCACATCACATTTGTCCGAACCTAAGTAATGATGGAATAAGTAATACCAAGGAGTTCTGTTCCCTGAAAACCTGTTGCTGTGTGTCATGTTTGAAAACAGGCTTAATGGATCAACTTTCATTTCTAGGATGCGCATGGTGACACTGGTGAACGTCTATAATGACAGTTTGGCAGCAGGAATACTCACGAGATACTTCACCCTGACTCCCAACTCAGAAGAGCCGTGAAACTAGAATATCTCGACCTTTTCAATTAAGCTGGGCGTTGATTGTTCATTTGCTTTCACTCACTGAATTGCTTGACTCGACTTTTTAATGGCCGTCGTGATATGGTTGGAATATTGCAGACAACATATACGCCATCACTTACCTATTTCAAGAGCAACTTTTTAATACTTCCATTTCTTTACTGTTTAATCACATTTTATATCAACCTTACGTCAAGGTGTGCTTCATTCAGTTTAGTGATTTATTTCAAATGGCTTGTATGCTTTTTCATCTCTTCTGGAGATGTTATACTGGGAGGCTCAATTCCGGATACAACTATAAACTATTTAATCAGGACATTCGACACCCTCATCAGCTTTCATAATGTAGTATCTATTCCGATTTCAAAAGTGTGCATTGTTTGGTATGTTCATTGAATAAAAGTGGAAATGGTTTGAACAGTTGGTGTTGGCAGAGCTTAAAAGAGTTTCACTGCTATAAATCTCGAAGTCAATTCCATTTTAGGATCTTCTTAATCTATCATCATGCTTTTAACTTCTGGGAAAACTATTCTATGTATATCTAAAGAGGTTATCATGCGAGTGTGTATGCTCGACAAGGCTCGCTAAATACAATGTTTAATCCTAATGCAGGATATTTACCATCCCAAAACACACAAGCATGATAACCTCTTTATCATATAATGTCATTCTTTAATTCTGTGCTTGAAAAATCGCTTTCCCTCTCTCACAAACATTACCGAAACATTGCAAGTTTTCCTGGAATGCGCGCATTAATATTTATTACGTCTCAGGGCAAGTGATGTGTCAGTCGGACAGTGATAGTAGCCAATATAGTTCCAACTGAAATCTGTTTCATATACAGTGGCGAAGCAACATATGCGCAAAATAACAATTGTTTTTACTTGCCTTTCGCGGCATTCTATCGGTCTGTCCGCTAGAGTAACTGCTATTTGTCAAAGGGAAGCTACTCTAACCCTAGTCGTCACGGCCACGTTCAGACGATGACAGTCGGCCTGTCCTGTCATAACGTTAAGAAGTGCAGTCAGATGTACAGACAGAGACACAACGAAACAAGCTAACAATTCAAACATATTTCGGCCAAATCCAACTATTTAAATTTGTGGAAAAGGTTTCAAGCCGCAGAGGTCTACAAGCACAGGGGGGCACGGGTGGCCAAGTCGTCTAAGGCGCCGCGATTCGCTGTGCAGAATTGCGTCCCTTGGGCACGCCTGAAACCTATGATTGTGGGTTCGAATCCCGGTTCGCCCCGATTATGTTTCTAGGTTTGTCAGCACCATACCCGTGCTCGTGGGTTTCACCGAAGTGGTAAACGTCTGAGACCTGCATCACTTCGGGCTTTCCTCCCACATAAAGCTTACACGCTGGATATAACTGTAATACTGTTAAAAGCGGCGCTAAATCCAATTCACTCACTCACTCACTACAAGCACGGATATGGATACTGATCCCGCTTTGCTAGGCCTAGTGCCCTCGAAAAATTGTTTCGAAATTCATATCTCCAAAGTTGCCAAAACTTATAAAATGCCTTAGCTACGTCACAGTTAGACACTGATTTTCAGTATATTAGACTGTTCTTTTGATAATGATAGCAATAATCCCAGTAGTTTATCCAGGTTCCCGATGGTTAATCCTGACTCAATCGCCGAATGACAATGGTGACGCCATGTTTGTTTATAAACAGTGAAAGTAGTCACTACTTGACCTTTGATATTTGCATTTCTATCCTCATATGACCCCAACGGATATCGTTTTATTCCGTTGGCTTTATCCTGCCGAGAAACATACCCATTATATGATAAAAATACTTATTTCAATACTTACTGATATACACCCAGGTAATGTAAAAGTATTCAAACAAATACTGATCAAAATAATGTCAAATTAGGTTAGGGATTTTATGAAAATGTAATACATTTTAGATCATTCGCAGTATTGATCCGAATTTAATGTTGCTGTTGGACAATGCCAGCGATTTAAAAACAGAATCCCTTAAGTGAGTGAGTGAGTGGGTTAAAATTTAACCTCGCATCAACATTATTTCAGCAATATAGCGACGAGACCAAGTTAAAAACATTTTAAACATATTAAAAACAAGTTGTGAAACATATTTGAGAATAATATATTTAGAAATAATTTATGAAACAAATTTAAGCATCACAATATTATATATACTGTTTTAAAACACGGGCTTTAGGCCACCAGTTACCAAAGCCAGGCCACCTGACATAGGATCATGGGGACTTACAGTACCTCTGCTTCCTGCATGATGCCCCAGCAGGATTTACGTCATCACTTTAGCGACTGGTGGTTGTGAACAATACTAGCCAATATTAAAAAATACTCAGGAATGAGTTGGCTTAAAATCACTGGTTGATGATAGTTACATTGATTATGATAGGATTACGTGTCACACAGGGGGACAATAATTTTACGATACTTTAACCCCCTTCTGACCCCCGAATTCTGTACTTCTCCAATTGTTTTTCTCTCAGTCCCTGAACCATATTATTTGCCCTTCTGCCCAGTGTGCTGGTAGAGACGGGACTTGGCTACAGTGTGCTGGTAGAGACGGGACTTGGCTACAGTGTGCTGGTAGAGACGGGACTAGTACACAGTGTGCTGGTAGAGACGGGACTAGTACACAATGTGCTGGTAGAGACGGGACTAGGTTACAGTGTGCTGGTAGAGACGGGACTAGGCTACAGTGTGCTGGTAGAGACGGGACTAGGCTACAGTGTGCTGGTAGAGACGGGACTAGGTTACAGTGTGCTGGTAGAGACGGGACTAGGCTACAGTGTGCTGGTAGAGACGGGACTAGGTTACAGTGTGCTGGTAGAGACGGCACTAGTACACAGTGTGCTGGTAGAGACGGGACTTGGCTACAGTGTGCTGGTAGAGACGGCACTAGTACACAGTGTGCTGGTAGAGACGGGACTAGGCTACAGTGTGCTGGTACAGACGGGACTTGGCTACAGTGTGCTGGTAGAGACGGGACTAGGCTACAGTGTGCTGGTAGAGACGGGACTTGGCTACAGTGTGCTGGTAGAGACGGGACTTGGCTACAGTGTGCTGGTAGAGACGGGACTAGGCTACAGTGTGCTGGTAGAGACGGGACTTGGCTACAGTGTGCTGGTAGAGACGGGACTTGGCTACAGTGTGCTGGTAGAGACGGGACTAGGCTACAGTGTGCTGGTAGAGACGGCACTAGTACACAGTGTGCTGGTAGAGACGGCACTAGGCTACAGTGTGCTGGTAGAGACGGGACTAGGTTACAGTGTGGTGGTAGAGACGGGACTAGGTTACAGTGTGATGGTAGAGACGGGGCTAGGTTACAGTGTGCTATTAAAGACGGGACTAGGTTACAGTGGGTGGGTTGGTAGAGACAGGACTAAGGTACAGTGTGGTGGTAGAGACGGGACTAGGTTACAGTGTGCTGGTAGAGACGGGACTTGGCTACGGTGAAGTGGTAAAGACGTGACTAGGTTACAGTGTGCTGGTAGAGACGGGACTAGGTTACAGTGAAGTGATAAAGACGGGACCAGGTTACAGTGAAGTGGTATTGACGGGACTAGGTTACAATGAAGTGGTAGTGACGGGACTAGGGTACTGTGTGCTGGTAGAGACGGGACTAGGCTACAGTGTGCTGGTACAGACGGGACTTGGCTACAGTGTGCTGGTAGAGACGGGACTAGGCTACAGTGTGCTGGTAGAGACGGGACTAGTACACAGTGTGCTGGTAGATACGGGACTTGGCTACAGTGTGCTGGTAGAGACGGGACTAGTACACAGTGTGCTGGTAGAGACGGCACTAGTACACAGTGTGCTGGTAGAGACGGGACTAGGCTACAGTGTGCTCGTAGAGACGGGACTAGGTTACAGTGTGCTGGTAGAGACGGGACGAGGCTACAGTGTGCTGGTAGAGACGGCACTAGTACACAGTGTGCTGGTAGAGACGGGACTAGGCTACAGTGTGCTGGTACAGACGGGACTAGGTTACAGTGTGGTGGTAGAGACGGGACTAGGTTACAGTGTGATGGTAGAGACGGGGCTAGGTTACAGTGTGCTATTAAAGACGGGACTAGGTTACAGTGGGTGGGTTGGTAGAGACAGGACTAAGGTACAGTGTGGTGGTAGAGACGGGACTAGGTTACAGTGTGCTGGTAGAGACGGGACTTGGCTACGGTGAAGTGGTAAAGACGGGACTAGGTTACAGTGTGCTGGTAGAGACGGGACTAGGTTACAGTGAAGTGATAAAGACGGGACCAGGTTACAGTGAAGTGGTATTGACGGGACTAGGTTACAATGAAGTGGTAGTGACGGGACTAGGGTACTGTGAAATGGTAGTGACGGGACTAGGTTACAGTGAAGTGGTAGAGACGGGACTAGGTTACAGTGTGGTGGTAGTGGCCGGACTAGGTTACAGTGTGGTGGTAGAGACGGGACTAGGTTACAGTGAAGTGGTAGTGACGGGACTAGGTTACAGTTAAGTGGTAGTGACGGGACTAGGTTACAGTGAAGTGGTAGAGACGGGACTAGGTTACAGTGAAGTGGTAGAGACGGGACTAGGTTACAGTGAAGTAATAGAGCCGGGACTAGGTTACAGTGAAGTGGTAGTGACGGGACTAGGTTACAGTGAAGGGGTAGTGACGGGACTAGGTTACGGTGAAGTGGTAGTGACGGGACTAGGTTACAGTGAAGTGGTAGTGACGGGACTAGGGTACTGTGAAATGGTAGTGACGGGACTAGGTTACAGTGAAGTGGTAGAGACGGGACTAGGTTACAGTGTGGTGGTAGTGGCCGGACTAGGTTACAGTGTGGTGGTAGAGACGGGACCAGGTTACAGTGAAGTGGTAGAGACGGGACTAGGTTACAGTGAAGTGGTAGTGACGGGACTAGGGTACTGTGAAATGGTAGTGACGGGACTAGGTTACAGTGAAGTGGTAGAGACGGGACTAGGTTACAGTGTGGTGGTAGTGGCCGGACTAGGTTACAGTGTGGTGGTAGAGACGGGACTAGGTTACAGTGAAGTGGTAGAGACGGGACTAGGTTACAGTGAAGTGGTAGAGACGGGACGAGGTTACACTGAAGTGGTAGAGACTGGAGTTTGTTACAGTGTGGTGGTAAAGATGAGATTTAGCTACAAAGTGCTGGAAGAGACGGGACTTGGTTATAACCCGTTATACAAGTCCGAGGTTGGACCATGTAGAGAACAAGTGACTGTCAGGCTTCATTAGACCATATGGTTAAATTTATGTTGATGGTCAACATAGAGTAAGAGGCCCAACGAGTCGGGTTTGCTCTTTTTAAACAAAGTGAGGAGAAGAAAGAGTGACAGTTATAGGATATATTCACAATGTAAATGACACATGGAAATTAAAAATATCTATTAACAG